CCCGTGACCATAATCATGCTTGTGCTATGATCTCCTCAGACTGAAGAGGTTTTCCTAGCTTGGTGAAACCTTTGGGGAGCGTGGGCCTGCTAGATAACAGGATAATGATGCTTCATATCCTGCTGCTTGAATGCTTTGTTTAGTAAGTCCACAATTAGAAAGTGCAGATCCATCTGTATGGCTTTCAAACAGGCTCTTCTGGGTCACTCTTCACCATTGTTTCAGCTCATTGACATCAGGATGAAAAGGCAGTGACCTCCTCCCTGATCAGCTCTGCCTATATGCATCTTCCCTTCATTACACAGCTGAAAGACAGGCATGGAAGGAAATAGGACCCACTGTCCCCTCCCTTCCCTGGCTCCCCTCCCATCCCCTCCCTATTCTCCACTTTCCATTGAAGCACCACATCCCTGCAGCTTCGCTATGAATTCGGGGAAATAATCTGCTCCACAATGACACACTGAATGTATCTTAAAGCCTTTTGTGCCTTCTAAACGGCTATACGGCTATATCTCTAAATATAGAGAGAGAGAGATATAGATATATATATCAAGGATGGCTTTAAAAAAGGAAAAGACGCTAAGGTTAAAAGAAACAGCCGGGTACTGAGCCGTGGAGCCGATGCAGGGAAGCATTTGCTCCACCAGTTGGTGTGCAGTGATACCCGGCCACCAGACACAGTCTAACAAAGACCACCGGCGTGAAATCTCAACTGTCATGCATGGCATGGAAGAAGAAATGCAGGGGTGGCGTGAATGTGCACAAACAATGGATACTCTAATGTAAAGCGAGAGCTCGGGTTTATCCGGACATAAGCACTTGTCGCAAAGATGCTGCAAAAAAAAAAAAAAAAAACACGAAAATTTCAGCCTCACCACACTATCGCTGGCCTCACTGATTTCTCGACCCTCGTGTGCTTTCGATCTCACAGCGAAACAGAAAACCATCTACAAAACGCTTTTATTTTATTTTGGAATTTCTTTTAGGAGATCAACTCTTGCGCCATTGCCCTGGATCGTCGAGGAGCGCAGCGGCGCAGGGACCATGCCGCCCCGGTGACATCCTGCAAACACACCCCGCAGGCCCACACCAGCCAGGCTGGACCCACTCACTGCCACTCCAAACGTGAAAACACCCGAGCACTCACTGTGATGCGGGGAATGTTCTTTTTGCCTTGGTAGCCAGACATCTTCACCGGTGTTTCGTGTGCGCCGCAGACCGCTAGAAATGCAAACGGGACGGATTACCGCTGGCTGCCGGGCTGTAGTGAGGATGATGGTGATGAAGATAAATAGGGGGGAAGACTACACAGACACGGGTGATCTGCAGGAGGCCACAGACGTGAAGAATCAAACTATCGCTCAACTCCGGATCCTGGCAGCCTCCCGGTCTCCGCCGATGCACCAAACCGTTCCTTCCCAGACGGAGTCAGACAAGAGGGGAGGGAGGGACCGCTCGAGAGCCTCTTCCCAATAAAAGAACCCCACGGAGCATGCGCAGAGCCTCGCCCTGCTCCATTGACAGCAGAGAAGCACACTAATGCCATCAATTGCTTTCGCCGGATTAGGGAAGGCAGGCAAGCAGGGAGTGCAGCCTGCAAACATCCACCGAAGGAACAAATGAAGAAACAGCCAGCAGCCATCTTACCTCATATTATCTGCTGTGTGTCTGAAGGTGGGGGTGTTATTAGAGCGAGCAAGAGCTCAGGCTCAGGCAGGGTGACGTGATTTCACCTGTTTCCAGCTCTGATCAACTTGAATGGTTCTCAATACAAGTTGGGATTACAGCACTATTTGAGAAATGGGTAAACCTGGAATCACGGGAATGGAAATTTGGCCTTTTGTGTGTTTGGCAAATGCTGACAGACAAAATAGTCCGACATTGTTCGAGATTTACTTAGTGTTTGCATTTTTATTTTTAATCAAAGACCGATCGAGAAGACTTCACTTCATAGTAAAAGAAATGTGATAAACTCTGCTTTCATTTTTAAAATGTTCTTCCTCAGTACACAGTTAACTTTATTATTTATCTATAACAGGTTAAAGCAGTGTAAGATTACCAAAAGTAGTCAATTGAGCTTAACCAGATATATTTTGTACTCAGAGGCTCTCCGCTAAATTTTGTTTTGTGCTTATTTATAAATAGAAAAAAAATATGTATTTGAACTGACACAGTTCCTTTAAGACCAAAGTTTGAAAACCGTTTGTAGTTTTTATATCTGTGTTTACACCTGATTTTAAAATGCATTCTGGGAAATAAGATTATTAGTAGACAGCAGCAAATATACACTCATTAGACACTTTATTAGGTAAACCTGTTCGGTTGCTTGTTCACTCAAATATATAATCAGCTGATTACATGGCAGCAAGTCAACCCACTGAGGCATGTTGACATGGTCAAGATGACCTGCTGAAGTTCAAACCGAGCATCAGGATGAGAAAGAAAGGTGATTTAAGTGACTTTGTGACTTTGATTGTTGGTGCCAGACAGGATGGTATCGGCATTAAGAAAACTGCTCACTCCCACAAACCCATCTCCAGGGTTTACAGAGAATAGTCCAAAAACAGACAAAAAATCAGAGATCTGAGAAGAACGCATCAAACTTTAAAGCAGAAGACCACGCTGCTTCTGCCAGCTAAGAACTGGAAGGTAAAGCTACAGTTTGGCTTACTAAAATTAAACAATAGAAGATTAAATAATGTTGCCTTGACTGATAAGCCTCGACTTCTGCTGTGACATCCAAATGTTAGGGTCCAAATTTGGTGTATACGCTTAAAGCATGGCCTCCACGGTCTTCCCCTAGGCATAAGGATTCTTTATGGAACAGTAGATTCACATCATGATGTGCAGCTGATCAGCCACAGGACTTACCAAAGTAGTCTGTAATGCTTTTGTCTTGATGTGTCCCTGACAAGAATGTAACAGGAAAATATGTCATTAGTGCAGCATGTGGTGTTTCTTTTTTTTAATGCCATGGACACGGATGACATTTTCCTGCCAGTCTCAACAGCTGCTATAACCATTACTTTGTTTTCTTAATGTGCAAGGGAGAGAAAAGGGACAGTGTCCTTTAACCTTCCAGTGGAAGTGACGAAGCCGGTTGTGAAATATGTACAGAAGCCTTGGAGACGCGTGATAAACAGTTGTAAACAGTGATGCCTCTTAGCCATCCGCATGTAATCAGATTGCCCAAGGTGCATTAAAAAACAACTGCAAACAAAGTCCTTAAGGCAAGAAATTGCTATCTAAAGTTCATTTGTTATATAAATGTCTGTAAAGCCACAGTAAAAGTTGTCAATTCAGTCACAAACTCAGTTTTTCTTATTTTCTTAATTTGAATAGCCATATTAAAGAGGGCCAAAGTTTAACATAATGAGTTTACATGTTATGTAAGTACATGTAATCCCCATGAGACAAAAGCTCAGGCTTTAGACTGCTCTAACAACATGTTTCAGACAGTTTTTTATGCTCTTGGCTCCGTATGACATCATAGAGAGTTGTTATCCAAAATATGGTGATCTTAGGCAAACAGCTCCACCTACCTGCTCTTCAAACCTTCTGTTTACCACTGATCGCCAATCAGAGGAATGCTGGTTTAAAAGGAGGCTAAAGGGAGTTACATGCCTTGTTTCAGACAGAGGATCTGCACAAAGGTTTAATATGAGATAGAGAAGGATTATTCTAAATTGTGACTTGTGCAAAGCTACTCTAGTAGAGTCCATGGATTCAAACATGGAGCTGGAAATCAGTGCTAAAAAATCATGTACATTTACATGAATTCAATAGAGTTTTATCTTAACGTGTTATTAATTAAGTCTGTAAAGCTTACTTTACAATAAGTGTACAATAAATGGTGTGGGTGACAAAGTGCAGTGTGTGCCTCTGAAATTGAGTGGAGCAGAAGTAAAACTAGAAATTGCGAGTGCAGCGAACCCACATTTACACACAATAGCTGAGTAAACATGCACTGCAGCGCTGTTGTGTCGCATTTTATCCACCACAGTCCTAAAATGTCGGCTTGCTTTTGAAGAACGCAACGCTGAAATGCATCTCCTGTAATAATGACATCACTGATATTGAAGATCACATCAATTAAGTCTGTGAAGTCTGTGTTTGTGAAGTAAGCTCTCACATCAGAAAAGTGAAGAGCAACTAACTAATCATATATGACTTGAAGAGATGGAAGAGAGTAGGGAGTGGGTTGTGTGGCGAATGCTTCCGATCAATATGTAACATGATAAAAGGGCTCAACACCAACGCCCAAAGCTTTTAACAGCATCCTGAGTGCTTGAGTATTAAGTAAAGGAAGTACAGATGTGGGTTGACCACCAATCACTAAAACCTGAATAACTGCTTGAAGCAGCAGTAAAAGACGTGATAGATTTTCCTGCAAGTCATGCAGGTCAGGTTGAGCCTGTCCATCAACTCAGTTCTGCTGTTAAAAGAACGAGAGATCTCAAGGGCAGTAATGCTGCAATGGTCCAACCCTGCATCACCTTGCAAAAGCAACCAGGCTGATGTGTTCACAAAGGTGTGCCTCCTATTTAAATCATGCCATGGTAGATGACACACATGTTTATTTTTTCTTTCTCGTGCAGACCTGTTAACAGTGTTTCCTTCACCAACAGCCAGCTGCACTGTGCTGTTAAGGACTCTGACTAACAGAGCCACTCCCTCTGGCATTTCTGCATGGTGGGCCCTCTAACTGAGGGCCAGCGACTCTGTTACATCATAGTGCTTTCTGGGAAATGTAGTCATGGCAAGTTGTCTGGCATAAACTGGATGTGTATGCTTAAACAAACTCTGCTGAGTGGCAAAGGCTCTGTGACTGATGCGATTGTAGATGAAAAATGGCGCGGGTGTGTGCAAAAAGCTGAATGTTGGATGAAATAAATGAGAGCTGGAATGATAAATGTAGAGAAAGAAAGACAAAAGGAGGACGACTGGGAAAGAGAGGTGTAAAATATACACAATCGGCATGCAAAATCGGAGAAAATTACCCGTTTATCATCGAGATTCTGCAGAGCCTCTTTCCCTGTGCTCTCCCTTATCTCTACCTTCCTCGGCTGGGAGATGTCGGTCTGTCGGTCAATGACTCGCCCGTCACTCCTGCCCCTGCACGCCGAGAGTGCATCAAAGTCCAGCGTCTTGCTGTCCGAGGAACCTTCCACTGGACAGAACACGCCACAGAATTTCTGCCTGGGCCTGGCCGGGCTCTCGGAGCCCATCCTCTGAAAGAAAGCTGGCATTTCCCCGGCGGTCGACATCCCTTCCAGGCGGTTGGTTGTGATTGGGTTTAGCGGTGTGTAGCTGCACAGATGCTCGGAGTCTCAGCTTGTTGTGTTGTCCGGTTTTTTCCCCTTCCCTCAGCGCTGTGCGCTTGGACAGCCACCGCCTTTGCCGGTTTTCAATCGCAGGTGGTCGCACTGTGACCAAAGCTGGAAAAAATCAGTAAAGCTAATGCTGCTCGAGAAAAAAAAGATACACACACACACACTCTCACGGTGGAGAGAGAAGTGCAAAATGAATCCACGTAATATCTGATATTAGGGAAAGATGTGAGACAGCCTTCTGCTATATTGCTTGTCAGTGATTCCGCCACAGATCAGCAACAATTCTGATTTGCTTACTCATGAGTCTAAATTAGCTCCTTGCCCACAGCTGTTTGAGTTATAAATCAGCATATGAGGGAGAGACCTAAAGTCTGGCTTTGTCACAAAGAGATCCTATAGGGTGGAGGAGGAGGATGTTTCCCAATGAGGGATTACCTGTAGCCCGAATGAAACCGTCCAGACTGGCACTATCGGGAGCGCATCACAGCTGAATGTCCGGAAATATTGCGCTCTCACTTGTCCAAACTGAAGACTTGTTCGCTGTAGCTCTATTTAACCCGGAGACAGTGTCCTCGCAGCTGTCCTGCCCGCCAGAGAGCTGTGTAATGTAATAATTAAAGCGTGGCGTGCAGTCTTTAAATGTCTCTGCAGGGCGTCTCTGTCGGATGTTTGAGGTCAAGAGTGGCCCAGCACCATGGAGAGTTCCTCAAAGTCACACCCAGTCCAACAATGAGGATAGCTGTCCCTTCAGCACCACACCCCGGGCTCCAACACACACACACACACACACACACACACACACACACACACACACACACACACACACACACACACACACACACACACACACACACACCC